GCGAGACCATCTGCATCTCTTCAGCGCGCGAGAAAGGCGCCTTCGGCACCTACTGCTTCGACACGTCCAACCACCAGTGGGCCAAGGCAGGCCGCTGGGTGCTGCCCTTCCACGGCCGCGCCCTGCGAGTCCCGGAGCTCCACGGCCTCTGGTTCGGCATCGGCGGCGAAAGCCAGCACGACCTCTGCGCCGTCGACCTCTCGTCTCTGGACCGCGCTCCCAAGGTGCTGCGCAGGTGGCGAGTCTCCGGCCCTCCCCAACCACTGGCTGTTGATCCGCAGCAGCATGGTGTACCTTGGGGCCAACAGGTTTTGCATAGCCAAAACCTATGGCGTTTTTATGGAACCTCAGAAGCATGATGAAGAGCTAGCAGCTCACACGGCTGCTATCCTCACGGGCGTGGAGATTGTGAACGGAGAAGCGAGCAGAGGCAAGCTGCGCATGGTCGAGCACAAGAGCAGAACCTACATCTTTGAGCGCTGTGGCATTGAGTCCATGTTCTAGCTGCCCGCTTCTATCCTCACCGTTGTGGAGATCGATTGTGGACGGAGGAGAAAATAATTAGAGACTTGTTGCGCGGATGGTCAACTTTTAGGTTTTCTTCTTCTAAAAAATGGTCAACTTTTATACACCTTCGAATGTATCGTACGTCCTTTGTTTAGTTTCAACACTCAAGTTGTCTATTTGCAGCAGCTGTGTCCCCAATAAATCTGCATCACTCCGTATCCAAAAAGTTAAAGTTCGCAAAGTTCAGCTTCAGCTTCAATTGCAGAACATATTTTTTTTTTGAGCGGAGTTTCAGAACATATGTTACCACCTTTTTTTTAGGCAATCTCGCGAAGCTTTTATTTCAAACCGTCACAATGTTTACAAGGACGAAAGGAATTCCCTCTGGCTGGCCTAGCCAAACATGACGACCAGGCCCTAACTTTAAAGCATGCTTCGCTAAATTGTGAGCCTCCTTATTGAAGCTCCTATACTCATGAACTATATTACATGAAGTAAAAGACGTAGCCGTCATCTTGATCTCTTCGATGATAGCTCTGTAGGTTGATCCACTCCCCTTCTTGATTTCTGACACAACACCTTGGCAATCTGAAGCGAGATGTACACGGTTCAAATTCAGATCTTGGGCTAGAGCCAAACCTTCCCTGATAGCTAGCGCTTCAAGGGTAGCTGCATCATTTTGATTTCTAAAAACATAGGCCGACGCGCCAAGGAAAGTGCCTTCGCTGTTTCTGCATATTGTACCCACCATTCCATGGTTTCCTCCCCTACTCACTGCTGCATCAACATTTAGTTTCATACAATTCTCGGGCGGTGCTAGCCAACCCGACCGCCCAGCTGCTGCACTCCCATGGGGCTCACCCTTTTGAGATAGCTGAAGAAGTTCTCCTAGGTAAGAGTTAACAAAGCCATGAACTGCATATGGGCTTTTGAATATATCTTCATATATTGCCTTGCGCCTCGCACCCCAGATGGCCCAAAGAGTTATTGCAAACTTGATAAATTCCTCCGGTTCCAAAGTTCTACCCATGACAAAGATCCAATCCTTAGCACAATCATGTTGGTTAATGCTCAGTTGATCCAGGATGGCTTCGGATGACAGCGCACACGTGCTCCTTGACATAGGACAGTCCAACAAAGCATGTCTCCATGAGTCATGAACACCACACAAACTGCATGCTGCAGAAGTTGCCATGTTTCGCCTATGCAACACTGCAGCCGATGGGATCGAGTTCTTTGCCAATCTCCACATGAAGACCCTGATCTTCGACGGGACCTGTACCTTCCACAACGACTTCCAATCAGCTCCTTCTGCTTCTACTCTTGATGTACCCCCGCGACCCTCTAGCCACGCCTCTCTGTTCAGCTTTGTGCGGGTGAGCATACGATAAGCTGAGCTGACAGAAAAGTTGTTGGAAATATGCCCTAGAGGCAATAATAAAAGTATTATTATTATATTTCTTTGTTCATGATAATTGTCTTTATTCATGCTATAACTGTATTATCCGAAAATCGTAATACACGTGTGAATACATAGACCATAATATGTCCCTAGTAAGCCTCTAGTTGACTAGCTCGTTGATCAACAGATAGTCATGGTTTCCTGGCTATGGACATTGGATGTCATTGATAACGGGATCACATCATTAGGAGAATGATGTGATGGACAAGACCCAATCCTAAGCATAGCGCAAGATCGTGTAGTTCGTTTGCTAGAGCTTTTCCAATGTCAAGTATCTTTTCCTTTGACCATGAGATCGTGTAACTCCCGGATACCGTAGGAGTGCTTTAGGTGTACCAAGCGTCACAACGTAACTGGGTGACTATAAAGGTGCACTACAGGTATCTCCGAAAGTGTCTGTTGGGTTGACACGGATCGAGACTGGGATTTGTCACTCCGTATGACGGAGAGGTATCACTGGGCCCACTCGGTAATGCGTCATCATAATGAGCTCAAAGTGACCAAGTGTCTGGTCACGGGATCATGCATTACGGTACGAGTAAAGTGACTTGCCGGTAACGAGATTGAACGAGGTATTGGGATACCGACGATCGAATCTCGGGCAAGTAACATACCGATTGACAAAGGGAATTGCATACGGGGTTGCTTGAATCCTCGACATCGTGGTTCATCCGATGAGATCATCGTGGAGTATGTGGGAGCCAACATGGGTATCCAGATCCCGCTGTTGGTTATTGACCGGAGAGTCGTCTCGGTCATGTCTACATATCTCCCGAACCCGTAGGGTCTACACACTTAAGGTTCGGTGACGCTAGGGTTGTAGGGATATGTATATGCAGTAACCCGAATGTTGTTTGGAGTCCCGGATGAGATCCCGGACGTCACGAGGAGTTCCGGAACGGTCCGGAGGTACAGAATTATATATAGGAAGTGCTATTTCGGCCATCGGGACAAGTTTCGGGGTTATCGGTATTGTACCGGGACCACCGAAAGGGTCCCGGGGGCCCACCGGGTGGGGCCACCTGCCCCGGGGGGGCACATGGGCTGTAGGGGGTGCGCCTTGGCCTACATGGGCCAAGGGCACCAGCCCCAATAGGCCCATGCGCCTAGGGTTTCCAAAGGGGAGGAGTCCCACTAGTGGAAGGCACCCCTAGGTGCCTTGGGAGGGAGGGAAACCTCCCTTGGCTGCCCCCCCCCTAGGAGATTAGATCTCCTAGGGCCGGCGCCCCCCCCCCTTGGCCCTCCTATATATAGTGGGGGAAGGAGGGCTTTTGAGCTACGCCTTTGGTTGCCTCCTTCTCCCTCTCCAACACCTCCTCCTCCTCCATAGTGCTTAACGAAGCCCTGCCGGAGTACTGCAGCTCCATCACCACCACGCCGTCGTGCTGTTGCTGGAGCCATCTTCCTCAACCTCTCCTCTCCCCTTGCTGGATCAAGAAGAATGAGACGTTACGCTGACCGTACGTGTGTTGAACGCGGAGGTGCCGTCCGTTCGGTGCTAGGATCTGCGGTGTTTTGGATCACGTCGTGTTCGACTACATCATCCCCGTTCTTTGAACGCTTCCGTTCGCGATCTACAAAGGTATGTAGATGCATCCAATCACTCGTTGCTAGATGAACTCATAGATGGATCTTGGTGAAACCGTAGGAAAATTTTTTGTTTTCTGCTACGTTCCCCAACAAAAGTGGCCCCGAGGCTCCTCACTCCAAGCCCAAAAATCAGAGATCCTACGAGTACATAAAGGTATCTTTACAATTGCTTCCGCATCGAACGGTGTGAAGACAGCCCGCACCAGCTCTTCTTTCCAAGTTGATGTTGATGTTTCTATGAGCTCTGAGACACGTCGAGGTGGATTCGGTACCAATGAAGCAATTGGTCTCCTGAAACTCTCTCTTGGGATCCAGTTATGATTCCATATATCTGTCTCTTGTTCATCACCTATGCGCCGAATAATTCCTTGAGCAACTACATCTCTTCCATCAAGTATCCCTCTCCAGATTTGGGAGGGGTGAGAGCCTAATTTTGCATCCAAAAGGGATTGATCTGGGAAGTATATCACCTTCAAAATTCTTGCACTCAACGACTCCGGATCATCCATCATCCTCCATGCTTGCCTAGCCAAGAGAGACAAGTTGAACAGTTCCAGATCACGAAATCCCATACCTCCCATATATTTTGGCATAGTCATTATATCCCATGCAACCCATGCTGGTTTCCTTCTGCCTCTTTTGCTTCCCCACCAAAACTGTCGAATTATAGTTGTAACACTATCACACAGCCCTCTTGGAAGCCTGAAACAGGAAATAGAATAGACTGGTATAGCCTGGGCCACCGCTTTTATTAGCACCTCCTTTCCAGCACACGACAGTAATTTGCCCATCCATCCTTTCACTTTCTCCCAGACTCTATCCCTCATATATTTGAAAGTGTCGTTCTTTGAGTGTCCAACCTCAGTTGGCATACCCAGGTAACGATCACTGAGAGACTCATTGTGCACCTGAAGTTTTTCCTTCACCCCGTCCCTTATTGTTTGAGGACAACCCTTCCTAAAGAAGATGGATGACTTTGCATTGTTTATTTTCTGTCCGGAAGTGTTACAATAGAAAGTTAGTAGGTCTGATACCTTCTTTGCACCCTCCACACTAGTCTTGAAAAGCAATAGGCTGTCATCTGTAAATAGAAGATGGTTAACGGCTGGAGTCGTGGATGCCACCTTGATACCTGCCAACAATGATGACTGAGAACTGGATTTCAGGAGGCACGAAAGGCATAGGACCGTACAAGCCCACACAATCTATCAACTTAACGGCCTGTTTACCCGGCCCAGTTCGACGTCGATGGCGTATTCGTTCACTCCGTCTCCGTCTCCACCGATCTAGACGCCTCTCCGTCCACTGCCCTCGCCGCCGACGACAAGGCTGCCGCTGTAGCCAGCGTCAGAGCCGATCCTACAGCCCCGTAACCTCGCCACCGCCACACGTGACGCCCCGTACCAGCCCACGACGAGGGGGAGGAAGAGGGGGGTGAGCCATGGAGAAGCCGCCGGGGGCTTCGCCGCAGACCGCCGCGGCAGCCGCGGAGGTGGCGGCGCAGTTCAGGTCGCTCGTCAGCGCCGAGGACGTGGAATCCATCAAGCAGGCGCAGCACCTCATGTGAGCGATTCCCCGTCTCCGACGCCTTCGCTCGTAATTTGATTTCACTTCGATTTGCTCCGACACATGAGAATACCGCCCCTAGTTTTGCCACAGATTTCGTAAAATCCCAGTTTTATGATAGTTTTTTTTTGCGAGTATCATAGGTTGTTTGTGTCTGCAGTAGTATGCCTCACCTGTGAGTGCTTGCAGTGCTGGTGCTTGGTTTAGAGCCGTAGGGAGATCTACTTATTCCTCCCTTCAAGAGTTTCCGAGTACGAATTGGGTTGAACAATGGTAGATGATGTGAATTCGGTGTACTCTTTGATATATGAAGTAACCTGAAAGTCGGGTTGTGCCTGACTGCCCGGAGATCTTACCAAGCGGTGGCTAGAATTTCTAGGTGGCATTCACATTTCACAGTACATATTCTTACAAGTTGACATGAAGAAGGAAAATCTGTGTCCTCCAACATAATTACTTGTTTTCGTGATCTTTTTATTCTTGTACAAGTTGTGAAGCTTTTTAACTGGTGAATGGATTTTGGATAGAAATCTGGGATGTTATCGAGTTTGCTGGTAGCCTTCATTTCGGCACAGGGTCGGAGACAGGGGAGACTGGCAGGAGCCATGGCTACTCCGTGCCCTCTTAAGTGCATGCACATGGTGCTGTTAATCCTTACAATATCAAATAAACTTTTCATTGCCTCATACTTTGGCCCCTAATAGTTTGATTCATCTGGCCGCATTAAATTATAATTCTTGGCTCATCCACTGTTTCCGCATCCATGTTTATCCGATAGTAAGAGCCCCCTGCCACCTCTTAATTGGACCATTGTTAGGAGTGACTGATGAGTGGAAAGAGCTTACGGAGTTCAGCTAGTTGCTGCTGTTAAGTGATGGTTTGTAAATGTATAGGCGGTTGTTAGTGATGGTTCCGTACTACTGTTTACATGAGCATACCATATCGGTGGCCCTTTGCCATGTGCACATTTTGAGTGTTCCACTGTTTATTTCTGTCCTCTTTTCATCCTATTACCTCCTAATTGGGTATTTGTTAGTGATGACTGATGAGTTCAATCTAGAAATCGCTTTTAGAGTTAAGCCAAATGCTCGCATTTAGTGATGGGCCGTCAAATATATGGCTGGTTATAAGTTTCATAAAAATTCCAAGTGCTATGCTTCTACTATATGTGCGTACAACATTATCTCGATAATAGAACTGTTGATGTCCCTTTGCCTCATCCAGTTTTTGTCTCCACTGTTTGCCTATTTGTTTGATTGTTTTCCTCTTTGCATCCAAAACACCCATATACCCGTGCATCCCTGTCCAGATGCCCCTGAAATGGTTACAACAACAACAACAACAACAACAAAGCCTTTAGTCCCAAACAAGTTGGGGTAGGCTAGAGGTGAAACCCATAAGATCTCGCAACCAACTCATGGCTCAGGCACATGGATAGCAAGCTTCCACGCACCCCTGTCCATAGCTAGCTCTTTGTCGATACTCCAATCCTTCAGGTCTCTCTTAACGGACTCCTCCCATGTCAAAATCGGTCGACCCCGCCCTCTCTTGACATTCTCCGCACGCTTTAGCCGTCCGCTATGCACTGGAGCTTCTGGAGGCCTGCGCTGAATATGCCCAAACCATCTCAAACGATGTTGGACAAGCTTCTCCTCAATTGGTGCTACCCCAACTCTATCTCGTATATCATCATTCCGGACTCGATCCTTCCTCGTGTGGCCACACATCCATCTCAACATACGCATCTCCGCCACACCTAACTGTTGAACATGTCGCCTTTTAGTCGGCCAACACTCCGCGCCATACAACATTGCGGGTCGAACCGCCGTCCTGTAGAACTTGCCTTTTAGCTTTTGTGGCACTCTCTTGTCACAGAGAATGCCAGAAGCTTGGCGCCACTTCATCCATCCGGCTTTGATTCGATGAATGTGGCGTTCACCTACGCTAACCTTGATTCTCAGACAAGAGTTTGTATAATTTGTAAAGGATTGCACTGAGATTCTAGACAACCTAAAACAGCTGTAGAATGTGCTGTTAGTATTTTTTAAAATCAAGTACATGTTAGGCCCTGCTTGGATTGAGTGTAAAATCCATGTGCTCCCCACAATTTAGCTCAAGTTTGAACTGAATACCGGGCAGCACACAAAATTTACATCCAATCCAAGCAGGGCCTTAAAATTTACTCTATTATACTTGTAGACAATTCCATGTGGTTTGTATATGTTGTTTAGGGAATGCATGTAATTTGAAGTGGTCATAGCTTGCGAAAAAGTTAAGTGCTCTCATTCTTACATGTGTAATGAGTCAAATTATGTTTCATAGTCGTATATAATTTCTCAGAACCCACCAATGCTCTGTACCCTATTGGCTCAACAGTTTTGGACTCCCAACAGGCATAGGGTGGTCATAGTTCCTAGATCTTGTAATTAATTGCAGTAATTCTCGTTAGCACGCAGGTAATGCACGTGCCACTTTCCCTCTTACACTCCTACTTTCCTTTCTATAAAATATCAGCTTTCGACTTTCATAGATGGCATCTTGCCGTGGCAGATATACTCGCTACGCAGATATCGCTAGTGATTTATTCACTGTATACTCTATTCTCCAATTAAGCATGCATAATATTAAATGATAGATTTATCCTTAGTACGCCAATGATTGTTATTGGTCTGATTTCCTTGATAGAGTTGTATGAGCTGTTCCCTTAATGGGATAGTTGGGTAATTTGACTACTCCATCCACTTTCCGACACTGTCGTTTGTACATCAGCATGGTTCAAAGCGTAACTGTGGCGACTGATTTCTATTATAATATATTTTAAAACCCACACCATTATGTCTTTTCATAGTCTTTCTTGAGACAAAGTTGCACATATAATTTTTCATTTGTCTAATCTAAAAATTTCAAAGGATAACGGTATTTCAGTTTCGAAAGTTGGACTTCACCCATGCCTCCAAAACAACAGCTTCTAGGGAATTGCAGGGAGCATAGCACAACTGCTCATCTCAATTACTTGGGGTTTAAGTTCCTGATTTTGCTTCGTTGTCCTCATGCCAAGATAACATGGTCTGGGTCACCGGTCATCCACTAAATTAGTAATGTGCTAATGGCAAACCATAAGACCTGCTATTCACCAGTCAGGTCCATTCAGTAATGGATATTGCTGGTATTACGAAAAGAATACTTCTGTCCGTTTCATTTTTGGCCATAGACATGTGACATTTCAGTTTCCCTTTTCCACGCGCCATGCTTTAGTGTGGGCTGCCTGACCTGACCCTGTGACGTGCTAAACTTGGTACTGGCCCCAAGATCAATTGACCTCACAAGGTTGGAGGTATGGCCCCGAGGACCAACGACATGCCAGCCATGTTGCTGAGTTGAAATGGAGGGAAGGTTGGGGACTGGGAGATCTTTACTGAATACTGATTGATTGTTCTCATTACTTGGGTAATCCATCTCAGGTACAAGCTGTCCCTTCTGTAGGGAAGATTGACTTGGACCACAAAATTTGATCTGTACTTGCCTAACAAGCCATATCCTCATTTCCCAAGTAAATTGAAGTCTTGTCTAATTAAATTGGTATATTTCTGACCCTCACTTTGCCCTATGGAAAAATGTGAGCTTCCAAGTTTAGTCGGTACTCTTATGCAACAAATGCTGGTAAGCTTGGCCTTGGTGCCAACCCAGCCTGCTTCCCCCCTTTCTGCAAAATTCGTGCCATGGTAACGTAATTAGTAACATCTCTTAGTAGTGGCACTCTTGTTTTCCTTTTTTGGTGAGAGTGCTTCTCACTTAGGGCATTTTAGCTCAGGAAACATTTAGGCTGGCATCAATTGCGTTGTTAGACTTGTGTAATTCTGAATGCTTAAATGACATGTATCTACTGCATGGCAGTAGAAGTTTTCGGAATTGTGGTCTAATGATCATCATACTGCTACTTTGCAGACTGGGGCGATTGCAAGATAGTAATGCAGTTCTCACACATTTCAACGAGTATTCTGAGCAATGCTTTGCGGAGGTGTCCAGTGACCTTGCTAGCAAAGCTCGCCTTCTCAAGTCGATGAAGGATGATCTTGACCATATTTTCATGAAGCTGAGGTACCTTCTTGCGTGCTTATTCTTCTTCTAAAGTGTCAGCTGCTTTTTAGTCTCTATTCTATTACTTTCTAGTGCCGTTTTGTCTATCTACGGGATGATTCTCTTCTCCAAGAGTGTTATTTGAACTGTACCTCTATAGTAGTTCTCCGGCGCAGCTAACTTGTCTTTTATGCTGTTATTGTAGAAGCATGAAATCAAGGTTAGCAACAACATATCCAGACGCTTTCCCTGATGGCGCGATGGCAAAGACCATGGACCAAAGACCAGATCTTGAAACTCCTCTGGAATAGTCAGTTTATCACCTAAACTTAGCATGTTAGTGACGAGATCTGCAGCGAAGATCCATTCTTCATGAGAAGTGAAGCAACAAGCTATCTTCATCCTTTGTTTTGCTGAAAATTGCAGCATTTATTCTTCCAGAAGCTTCTGCATACACATTTTGTGGCGTGTGTACATAACTGGACTTGGTAGATTTATGCCTTTTGCTTCTTTTCCTTGTGTATATGTGAGATGGACACCACGTAATTGTTCGGATGGTCGCTGTAGGGTTTAAGGTTATATTTGCAATATGCTCCATGTTTGTAAGATCTAGTGTGACATGGCCAGAAAACAAATGGTAATCTGGGTACCTCGTTAGCTTCGCGAGCACAATGTGCATTGCCTATCTGAATGCTTGCTGGGAGCATTCCGCGATGATTACGGCAGCTATGCCCTCCGAGCAATCTGACCTCGCTTCCATATGGTTGCATCTGATTTGATTGTCAAGCAGGGCTGGTTGTTGTGAATTCCTTTTCGTTAGGGCAGTTAGGCTGAAGTATACGATAATGAACTAACCAGTTAGGCTAGTATACGATAATGAACTAACAACGATGTATTTTTCAGAATAATAGCAAATTAGATCTTTCCTTGCAAAGTATTTAGTTCAGCTTAAGTTTTTTTTTTCCTTTGCGGGGAAATTATGAGGGTTTGTGGCTATAGACAATGACTGGAAGAGGTGTAGAGCTCACGGGAGTGAGAGACATTGCAAGGCGGGAGAAGGAAGACAACCTATTTTGTCGTATCCTATCTTCGAATAGGGTGGACACTGTGTACCCTTATTAACATTAAAAAATGTCGGAAGTGAGGAACTTTTATCGTGGCGCGAACAAGTTATGTACCCTCAACAAAAAAGTGGCACATTGCTCACGCCAATTCACACCGTTTTCAATTGCTACCCTATTCTTATTTTTTTTGTATTTTTCTTGATTCTCTTTTCTGCTTTTCTAGAAAGAACTTACTGCTCCCTCTGTATAGTTGCAATTTGCTTACCTCGTAGTACAACCGTCCGTTCCACATTTACTGCACTGCTCATGCCTTCCACCCTGGCTGACATGTGGGTCCAATGTCTTGTACTTGGGCTCGGGCCTCCGTTCAAGCTGCGAGGCCCAAATGCGCATATCAATTTGGGCAATAAATCGCTTTGCTTTGATTGCTCGGGACCTCTCTCGACTCGCTCTTTTTATTCTCTCCCATCCGGGCCGCACCACACCACACCACAACACCCCCTCGATCTCTCCTTCCCCCATCACGCCCATTCACTCCCTCAACCCTCGCCCTACCTCGATCTACCCCCTCCCCCCTTGCCCCAACCCAAAAGTCCACCCAAACCAAACCTTAACCCTATCGGGGAGACGGCGATGCCGAAGGCCGGCGGCAAGAACGGGGAGGAGGTCCGTGCCGAGGATGAGGAGCGGTTGATCAATGAGGAGTATAAGATCTGGAAGAACACACCCTTCCTCTATGACCTCATCATCACCCATGCGCCTGAATGGCCCAACGTGTCGTTTTTGGTGTTTTCACGAGCTCAACCGACGCCCATTGTGTTCTATTACTCATTAGGCACAAAGTTGGTGGCTCTTCGTGAGTTGTCCTAAATTTGGTACCAACATGTTTACCCTAGCCCCATATGTGGTGGTTTGTGCAATTTACTCCCAAGTGGATCCAAAATCGCCTCTATGACTTCCAAGCAATCTGACCTCACTTCAATGTGATAAGTCGTGGATCTGTCAACTCTCGTGTAATACAATGTGTGAATGATAGGCAAACCAAGACAGACAGTGATCCTGTTTTGAATTCCTTTTCGTTAGGGCCATTAGGATATATTCGGGTGTACACTATAATGAACTAACAACAATGTACTTTTCAAAGGGTTGCGGTTATAGACAATGACCATGAGAGGTATTAAAGCTCACAAGAGTACGAGACATCAACAAAGAGCGAAGGGTGCATGCGGGAGAAGCAAGACCACCTATTTATCATTTTCTACGCTCGAATAGGGGCACACGCTATGTACTCTTAACATAATACTCCTTCCGAGCAAAATTACTTATCGCAAAAATGGATAGAACATGAATGTATTTAGAATTAAAATACGTCTAAATACAACCATTTAGGATGTGTTTGGTTAGAGGAAGATGTTAAGGTGGTTATGGGTATCCCTATCCAGTTGGCTAGGGATAGCCATTTTTCTGTTTGGTTGATGAGTGATGTTAGCCCATCTTCTGTTTGGTTCGAATGATGAAACATGGTTGTGATAAGCATTTTTCTATACTTTGTAATTAAAATATTTTTTTGTCATGTTATCTCTTCCATCAACTGAGGCATACACAACTCCCGGCACCAAGCAGCTCGCGCACGCACATCACACACATGTACACCACGCCACAGTAGGCTGCCCATGTACACCGTATCAGTCCTGCACTGTATACAGGGAGTACAACATCGGCTGGCCGCGTACACCATACAAGCGGTACAACATCGGCCGCCCGCGTACACAGAGTATAGCCGCCAACGTACAGCCGTAATATCGGTCGTCCGTGTAGTATAGCCCCCAACGTACAACATCAGTGCGACCGCGTACAGAGTACAACAACGACCACGCCATAGGCTGCCCATGCACACACCTCACTCACATCACGTACACGGAGGCACACATGCACGCACAGCTCACTCACACCACGTACACGGAAGCCCATGCACTGCTTTTGGGAGGACAGCGCCTCAACGAGAGAAAATGTTTTGTTCGCGCGCGGGTGGATGCGCATGTCCGTGAGATTTTTGCGTGTGAGCGGAGCCGGATTTTAGAGGTATATTTCTAGTATCTGGCTATCCCTATCCATCTTATCCCAGCTCGTCCACAAACCAAACGACTGCTATCCAATAAAATATGGTTATCCCTGTCCCTTGAGTGGTTACCCCGTTAACCAAATGCATCCTTATGTGACAAGTAATTCCGGATAAAGGGAGTTTGTTAGAAGAGAGGAAATTTTGTCGTGACGTGCACATGGCGTGTAATACTACAATAAAAGTGGTAACCTCTCCTGCCGGCTTGCATTGTCTTCAATTGCTGCCTTTTTTGCGGGGAATCAATTGCTGCCTTAACTGAAAATATTATTAGATTTTGTATCTTTCTTGATTCTCCTTTCTGCTTTTCTGGAAAGAACTTAGGGCGCTGCTTGGCGCCGGCGCACTGGCCCAATTTTGGGCCGGTCCGCCCCCAGCCGCCCGATACAGCACAACCGTTCAATACAGTCGTACATCTTCTTCCTTCCCCTCCTCGTCTTCGATGTGGTCAACACGGGGAAATCCATGGCGGGGATAACTCTCTCCCCTCCACTGGACCCCGCGCACGGTGTGCGTCCGTCCTCGCTTGTTTGCCTCGCCCCTCGATGCTCGTCGTTGAAGCTCGCCGCCGCCAAAAACGCAAAAGAAGAAAATAGGCCGTTGACCCATAACAGCTTTTTTGTTGCCTCCCCCGTTCCCAGTTGCATCCATGGGTGGTCCTTCTCGGGGCCGGCCACAAAACAACGGTCCTCGTCGGTGTTGCCGTCACTCTGGTTGCAACTAATGCGGTCCACAGCGTCGTTCGCCAGCCGAGCCGGTGGTAGCAAAAAAAGACACTAGTTCCAGCAAGAAAATAAGATGGTGGTAACAAAAAATTGTTGTCCTAGCAAAACCTAGAAAATGGTAGTAACAAAAATCGCCGATGGTTCCAGCAAAACACACAACTGGTAGTAGCAAAAAAATCAAGAGTGGTTCTGGAAAAAGAATTGATGCAGACACCATCCTCTTGATTGTAGCAAAATCTAAAGAAGGTTCCAGCAAAAAAAGAAACGGTTCCAGCAAAAAAAAATGATGGAGCAAAAAATCCATAGCACATAACTCAAAACAAATTCAATGTAGCAAATGAACTAGCTAGTTCCAACAAAAAAATCACTGGTTCCAGCAAAAACTGAAGTCATTGGTGAGGGCGCGGTCTGGTTCCAGCAAAATTGAAAGCTGGTTCCAACATGTGGCCTTGCTGGTTGCAGCAAAAAAGACGCTGGTTCCAGCAAAAGGTGTTGGCCGGTTCCAGCAAGGTGCCACTGGCTCGCCGTGTCGGCTGTAGCTCGCCACGCCTCCGATTCCAGCTTCCCGTCATGGATTGTAGCAAGATGCGGCGCTGGTCACAGCTTCCCCCGACACCGGTTGGAGCTTCTCACATCCATGGTTGCAGCACCATGGCCGTGGAGAAAAAAGAGGGAGGTAGGCTCCGGCCATGGGCGGCCGCAGCTTTGCTGGGCGGAAGGGCGGAATGGAGGAAGGAGGCAGCCGGTCACAAATCACGTGTCTCCCGAATGGCAGCTGTCGCACAATGACGGGGAAGGAGGAAGAGGAGACTGCGGGCGGCGGCCATGACGACGAGCTGCCGGGGAAGAAAAAGAAACGAGGCGAGAAAAGGGGGATAGATGTGGCCGCGGCTCGGTCCTCGTGTGCTAGGGGATAAGGATGAAGACCGGTGCATGGGCCACAGGCGATCCGCATGACGCATGCCGGAAGGAGTTGGGCCCGCAACAACGCAGCGAGCCACGAGCGACCGGCCGAAGCTTCGGCCGGCGCCCTGGCGTGAAACGTTTCCCAAGAACTTATTGCTCCCTCGGTATAGCTGTAATCTGCTTACTCAGCATCGTTCCACATTTACTCCACTGCTCACACCTTCCACTCTGGCTGACATGTGGGTCCAACGCCTCCAAACACCTCAGAGCGGGGCCTGGGCCTCCGCTGAAGCAATGAGGCCCAAACTTGCGTGTAAACCCCTTCGTTTTGACAGCTCGAGACCTCTCTCGGCTCCGCTCTTTTTATTCTTCCCCCTCCGCTCCGCACCGCAGCGCAGCCCCCACCAGTCTCTCTCCCCCGTCCCGCT